CTTCTGGATGATGAACAGGTGTTTCAGGATCCAAACTGATCTTTCATTCCTCCTGGATCTCATGTATGCTGACATACTTCTTTTACATCCTGGGGAAATTTGGAAACAGTGTGCATTCATCTCCAGTTACAGCAAGCAAAGCAGGTCAGATCTTAGCAGATCGACTAATTTTAATATTAATAGTCCCTAACTCTTCAAATAGGTTAAAATAAGAAACACTTGTGTTCAGTGCTATACCATTAGCCTTTAAACCATAAACTAAAAGCAGGAGGAGGTCATTTGCAAGCCTGCTCTGACATTCAACAGAATCATAGCTGATCCCCTATCTCAATGCCTATTCCTGCTGTACCCCTTGATATCATTAAAAATATGAAAATGTATCAATCTAATTCTTGAATACGTTCAGCCATTTGACCTCCGGAACATTCTGTGGTACAGAATTCCACGGCTTTGCAACTCTTTGAGTGAAGAAATGTTTCCTCATCTGAGGCATAATAGTGTACGCCATATTGTAAGATTGTATCATCTGGTTCTAGAAACCATGCTCCCTGCATTTGGTCTGTCTAGCCCTACTTATATTTTATACATTTCAATCAAAAATCCTTTCATCCTTCTCAACACTAAGGAACACAGCTAGTCAAGCCACTTTCTTCTCAATAGGGCAGTCCGGTCATCCCTGGTGAATTTTCACTGCACTCCCTCTATGGCAAGTATATTCATCTCAGGTTAGGAGACCAAAGCTGTATGCACTCCTCCTAATGCAGTCTCACCAAGGCCTCATATAACTACAGTAAGACATCCCTACTTTTGCACTCAAATCCTCTTGCAATGTAGGCCAATATACCAATTGTCTTTCTAATTGCTTATTGAACCTACCCGTCTACTTTTATTTTTTTTTATTCATTTGTGGGATGTGGGGGTCGCTGGCTGGCCAGCACTTCTTGTCCAATCCTAGTTGCCCTTGAAAAGGTGGTGGTGAGCTGCCTTCTTGAACCGTTGCAGTCACCAGCTGCAGGTTGACCCACAATGCCATTAGGGAAGGAATTCCAGGATTTTGACCCAGTGACAGTGAAGGAACGGCAATATATTTCCAAGTCAGGATGGTGGGTAGCTTGGAGGGGAACTTGAAGGTGGTTGTGTTCCCATATGTCTGTTGCCCTTGTCCTTCCAGGTGGAAGTGATTGTGGGTTTGGAAGGTGCTGTCTGAGGATCTTTTGTGAATTTCTGCAGTGCATCTTGTAGATTACACACTGCTACTGAGTTACTCTTGGTGGTGGACATTGAAATCCCCCACCCAGAGTACATTTTGTGCCCTTGCCATCCTCAGTGCTTCCTCCAAGTGTTGTTCAACATGGAGGAATACCGATTCATCAGCTGAGGGAGGACAGTATGTAGTAATCAGCAGGAGGTTTCCTTGCCCATGTTTAACATGAAGCCATGAGACTTCATGAGGTCCAGAGACAATGTCGAGGACTCCTAGAGCGACACTATCCTGACTGTATACCACTGTGCTACCACCTCTGCTGGGTCTGCCCTGCCAGTGGGACAGGACGTATCCAGGGATGGTGATGGTGGTGTCTGGGACATTGTCTGTAAAGTATGATTCTCTGAGTATGTCTATGCCAGGCTGTTGATAACTAGTCTGTGAGACAGCTCTCCCAATTTGGGCACTAACCCCCAGATGTTAGTGAGGAGGACTTTGCAAGGTCGACAGGGCTGTTTCTGCCATTGTCTTTTCTGGTGCCTAGTTCAATGCCAGATTTCATTGTGCAAGGACATCCTTTGTACATCCACACTTCCCCATATTTCACCATTTAAATAATACTCTTCCTTTCTTTTTTTTTATGTTGAAGTGTATAATTTCACATTTAGCCATGTTATAATGCATTTGCTGTGTGTTTGGCCACTCACTCAGCTTGTCTAGATCATCTTACAGCCTCCTTGCCATCCTCCTCATAACCACACTCAGTTATGTGCTGTCAGCAAAAATGGAAATGTTGCATTTGGTTCCCATTTCCATGCCTATGATATATATCATGAATAGCTGGGGCTTAAGTACTGATCCTTGTGGGATACTGGTAATCATTGCCTGCAACTTAGAAAATGACCCATTTATTTCCAGTCTGAGTTTTGTGTCAGTCAACCAATGCCACTATGTTCTTCACTATTCCATGTACTATAATTTTGTCCACTAACCTCTTTGAGGGACCTTATCAAAGGCCTTCTGAAAATCCAAATACATCATATTGACTGGTTCTCCCTTATTTATTCTACTACTTACATGCTCTAAAAACACTAGTAGATTTGTTCAACATGATTTGCCTTTCATAAACCCATGCTGGCTTTCTCCAATCTTATTAAAACTTTCCAAATGTTCTGTTATCACTTCTTTTACAATACATTCTAACATTTTCCCCAGTACTGTTGTTAGGCTAAATGGTCTGTAATTCTGATTTTCTCTCTCTTCAGAAGCTATCCAGTTCAAAGAAAATTCTGTAGACAAAAAAATGTGGGTTTTGCTGGTAATATCCAGATCCCTTGAAAGAATATAGGAAAAAAAATGCATTCCCATTCTCTAATAATTCTGTTTATTGCAAATGAGAGCCAAGGGGATGACAACCAGAGTGCAGCTGCAAGCCTGGAGTGCAACAGTTAGAAGACAACAAGAAGAACATCGAGAATAGATAAAAATGGAAACTTAGCTAGAGTTAGCTTTTATTTTTAGATCATTCCTGGGCTGTGTTAGACTCTCTGCATCCAACCAGCGGCTGTTTTTGGAAACACATAAATTTATTCAGGATTCCCAAGAAACTGATTTAGCAGACTTGGTGTGGAAACTTCAGAGTAAATCGTTACTGTCTCTATTAGAACTGCAGCATTTTTAAGAATTTCTAAACAATCACATTCAGAGAGGCCAAATTATTAAAAATGGCACAGTAGAAAAAGAAAATCCAGGCTTTGCTCATGCTGCATAAAATGTTGCTGAAATCATGGCTGAAAATTGTCAAGTTCGCATCATACAAAGATGAAAACATCAATTTTTGTGGGATTTTTTTGGGACTGCCGATAAAAGGAATGGGGTTGATCAATAATGGCCCACTACCCACAATCAGGCACATGAATTGATGCACAGTGCAAACTATTTTGAAATAAAGCCTTCTTACCCTCACCTAATGATCTTCGTTCATAATATCCCCGCAATAGATCATGATGCTAAGATGAATTTCTGCATGAATTATCCATGTGACTTGTTGAGACAGATTGCCAATTAATACAGAATTGAGGACAATGAGATCATATGAATAGTTCACAAAGAAATGAAAATATGCATAATGGTGTAATTCCATGAACTGAGGTTGACCAAATACATTTTTACAGATGATCTTTGTAACAGGTAGACTGACAAGAGTTTCCCCTCAGTAGATTAGGTTGGATTTGAAGTCAAGTTGTGGACACTGTGCCAACTCTATAAGTTACCCATTCCTTCAATTGATTTTGTTTTTAAACCTTTTAGTTCTGAAGGACAGGATTGTTTGTGTGTGGCAGGTATAACTCCCACACCTTACAAACCTAAATAATGAACAGTTCAATGTTATTTGAATGAGATGAAATTGAGACAACACCATCAATAAAGGTAAGAACTTCCAAAGTTGTTTGACTGTTATCTTAAAATATGAATTTGCTCTTTGTGTTTGCATTTTCTCTAGAATTTAGTACCAAAAAAAAGAATTCCATCAAATGCTAAATCATTGTGATATTTAGATAAACTACAGCTCCCGTATTCCAAAATACCATTTTTATGTGCAATTTGCATGTGGATACCTAATGGCTATTACATTGACAGGGACATGTGAAAAGTATCTAAATAATTACCAATTCTTCTCAGTATAACCTTTTAGCAGATATACCTTTGAGCTTGAAATTCTTGCACAGAATTGGCTGGGAAAGAACTAATGATTTATAAACAAGCATTAAAGACTGCCATTTCAGCTTCAAACTGTAAACTATTTAAAGAAAGCAAGGAGGTAGCTAGATAATGGCAGCATTATTGCTTTCTGACTTGGCTTCAAGCAATAACCAGCCTACAGGGAAAAACATAGAATGTATCCATCGTAAATACTAGGTTGGTTTGATCTTTAAACACAATTTTTCCTGCAGAGCTGTTCAATCCCAATAAAAAAAGTGCTGCTTTATTAATCCAACAGTGTGAATCGCTGAGCACATGGAAATGAAATTTGTGCTTTGATTGGTTTCTTTCAAAACAATGTTCTTAAGGATACAGAGATAAAAATTATAGCATCAGAGAGATCAAGTAAATCAAAATATAAATGGAAAAAAGGGATTTTAATAAACATAAAAGACTGGTTGGAGAGTAGTTTGATTGTCTACTCCTTCTGATTTACTCTGATATCCACAAAAGCAATTACAGCATGTTAAAACTAATATAATCTAACTTTTTCCAATGGAATCTAATCGAAGGATGCCAGAAAATTGAACAGCTTTACGATTTTTAATATGTTCTGAAGACTTTCATTTGCATTGGCATAAAATATTACCGGCAATATCCTTACTTAGAATAAAAGTTATTGCTTAAGTAAATTCATTATGCAATCAAAAAATATTTATTTTGTTTAGTGCATACAAAAATATTCAAGATATATACTTGGGATGCACATCTCAGAAACTGAGATAAGGCACTATTTTGAACAGTATCAATTCCCGTCACCAGTTCAGTGGCAAACTATTACATTTCTTGTGCCAGCAATGATAAATATCAATATACGCTTTAGGTAATTGAAAATATAAAGTTAAAACCAACACTTCAATGTACTTTGGGCATGGAAAGTTGTTTGCAATATCATTGCTAATTGTTAATGATGAATAAAAATTTAGTTGTTCTGCAAAGTCAAAGCAACATACAAAGAACCCAAATTGTAACAGGCTTCACACAGACTCACTCTAATGACTATTAAGAATTGTCATCTGTAGTTGTGCCTCACCTGTCTGTTTCGTTCATCCACAATCCGCGTGATTTGAATCTTTTTCCTCCCCATCTTTGCTGTTTCTCTTCTCTCCTCACCTTTAAGTCCTGTACTTTTGACCTTAACTCACTTCCGTTTTCTCAATATCAGACCTTCTTCTCGCTCCTCACTTCATTCAGTTCACAGATTCTTGCATCTGTCCCTGTTGATAAAAAAGAAATCAATTTATGTTAAACAGGACATCTTTGACTAGAAAGCAAGATAAAACATATGGGACCAAAATTCAATAGCTTTTACACAGGTCTTTCACTTGCAGGAGATTTTGTTTTGCAGATCAAAGGGGCAGAACTTCCAGAAAGAGGTGATGGTGGAACCAGTGGGCAGATGTTCTGGGGAAGTAACAATCTATACGAAACATTCCAGTTTCACTGGCTCACTCATTATCGGGTATATCTCTAAAGTGAAAGGAAGTGAGGTGGTTAGACAGGAACATAGATTAGGCCCTGAAGAAAATGAATAACTTTATTTTAAAGAAACAAATCACCAATGGATTCATAAAATCCATTTAAACTTTTAAATTTCTTCAAGTGGTTAGTCTCTAATAAAGAGAAAGTAATATCTGTTCAATAAACGCATTAATGACAGGATAATCTTTCAATAGTGTCAAACTGTGAATTTCAATCTCATGTTGAGATAATTAACTTTTGAAATTCAGCCATACATTCACAATGACAATGCTAACCCTTGGGGAATTGTTAACACAAAACTCTATTGAAACTGGATGACCAGACACTACTTTTGTTTCTAATCAGCAATGAGTTCAAATAATCCTGCTGAATTCAGATTTCCCACCTAAATATCAGAAACTTGTGAGCAAGAAATGCCAGTTTCAAGTTCCACTCAAGCGCATGGCCAATATATGACTAAACAGGTTGAGCATCACCTTGTAAGCCCTTCAAACATATGCCAATGTCAAGCAGTAAGAGTGGGAGAGATTTCTGGTTCGCCATTTGATGGAACAAAATTAGAGCCTCTACCAGCACTACCCAAACATGCAGACTACAACATTCATGTAAAACAGTATGCTTCTATAGTAATTCAGACTCCTTTGGAGTTTAGCTGAATGATTGCTGTTGGATCACATTTGTGCCAGAAGTATAGGGTTCGATCTCCATTCTTGCTGCGGAGGATTCACAATCTTCTCTTTGCCCTAGCCATGGTGGAGACCACAATGTTGTAGATCAGACTTGCCTTCAAGCAGAATTTAAGAAGAAGTGAATCATGCCCACCCTCTTTCATCTACCAGCAACAACTAGATATGTTGGAAAGTGAGGAAAATCTTCTGCATCTGTATTCCACATTTTTAAAGGTCCGCTAAGTGTTCCTGATTCTGCAAACATCCACCCCATGATGTTAACTTGGTGCAGGTATTGTAACCTGAGGGGAGGGGATGATTTAAGGGGAGAAGGACATCCACCCTGCCCCTACCTAATATCACCTGATTGTGGAGGCAGGAAATATTATGTCTGACCTCATTAATATATGCTTTTGCAGCCTGGCAATGTAAGACAGGTTTAAAAGGGGAAAACAGGGAGTTCAGTTATGGGGAGGAAGCAATCTCAGCCTGGAGAATGGCCGAAGGTCTCTTAATGTGGGTAGAACAAGCAGAAGATACCTTTAAAAAGATTTTCAAACACCACCTCAACTAAACCTCCTGTGGTCAAGCTGCTTGACGTCACTGAAATTCTGCTGGCAAGCCCCACACTGTGATACAGCTTTGCCTGTGATCAAAATGGTCTGCATGTCTCCATGACTGAATCAAGATATATGTTTGTTATTTCAATTAGACCCTCACTTATTTGGGGCCATCCTGTGCCTGAAACCAAATTGGCTAAAACGTGGGCTTGGGAATGTGACAGCATCTCCTTCCCATTGCCACCTCAGACCTTCCAGAGACAGCTCGACAGGCATGGCAGAATTGACCCTTCGCTGGTATAAACCAACAATCCAAAACAAATGAAGTCAACAGCAAAAATGTGTCTGGTGCCAACAATTACGTTACTTTCTAATGTATAAAATTACGTAATAGTACAGAGACTTATTTTTGAAGAGGAACATATGTAGCAAATTAAGAAGACTGTACTATGTTCCTGTAGTTCAGCACAACCCTTGACAAATTATACCAGCCTGGGCAACATCAGGTGGTTTTTTTCTTATCACTTTCTGGAAAACTGTTTAAATTGCTCAGATCACAGAGAACAGTAAATGAGACGGTCTATAGACTGGTTGTGTGGTCCAAAGAAAAATTGCTTAAGGGAGGTATATTGTAATGATTCACGATTGTAAAATTGAGTTGCACGTTGAGGTTCTTGCATATGAAAGAAGAATATTTACCATATTCTAAATTCAGTTACCAAGCTAGGTTTAATGATCACGGTGAAAGGCTGGAGATTTGGTAGCAACTCTGTCAGGGCCATTCCCAGGCACCGTCATGCAATTTGTTTTAAGACATCAAGTATCTACCTGATCAAAGTTAGTTTGCAGAACACTACAGGGGGAGTTTTCCACTTTTGCTTCCTGCTAGTCAGAGGCCAGCAGATCTTCATTACCAGCACAGCCATAGGTATGAGAAAAGGGGAGTCAGTTTGAAGTCCTGTAGGGACTGGATCTCATCACCAGCGAGATCTTCCATTGAGCACCAAATATTTGAGCAGGACTGATCCCAGCTGCCTGGCAACACCTGAAAGCTTATCAAATGGTGTGTTCTCTTCTTTCACATGCTCCCTCCATCACCCACCACCCACCACTTAAGGGCATTAAATCTGCTTCCAGGCACGATAAGCTTCTAGCCCCAGCCATAACCGGGGGGATTGGAGAAGACGATAGGCTCTCCATCTTGAGATTTTCACCCTATTTTAGGGCGCCCTCATCTCCCTGCATGCTTCCGTGGGGCATTGAATTCCATCCATTGTTTCAGAGATAACCAGCTATTGCAGCATATGCAAAGTAACAATTGTATCACAGTTAAACGAAATCACAATGTTCCTTAAGTAGGAAGGAAAACATTGTCTTTTTTTGACGTGACATTATAGATAATGACATGTTCCACTTAGACAAATAACGTAATTGCCACTGACATTCTGCAGCAATAAGAAATTTTAGCTTTGAAATTTTAATAAAATTGTATCAAGGCAAAATATCATTTGAATATGAATACTCTGAGGAACCAAAAGTTACATGATAACTGAGTCTTCCTGTTTTCACAAGAAAGTTATTTATTTAATTTTTTTAATATCGTATAGTATATTTTAGGAAATTTTTGCCTAAAAATGAGCAATGTCAGTCTTTGTCTCCAAAGAATAATGTCATTCAATTATATTTTCACTTCTCTTTTCAGTTTAGGTGGTGTTCTGCACTTTTTTTTATTCACCTCGTTGCTCTCTCTATAAAAAAACAATTTCTATGATGACAATTTTTTTTTGACTTTGGGACCAGATACTGGTATATGTCCCTCTTTAACCTGGTATGCTCTTCTGTTTATATCCACTCTGATCAGGCATTTTATATACATGCTATAAAGCAGAATTAAAGTGCAAAATTATTGTTAATAATTACAATTAATAAGCAGGATAGATAACAGCATCTGGCATTTGTTAAGTTTTGCCTTGCAATTAAATTTTAAAATATTTTGCATGGCAAGTTGTTGAAAGCACCTCACCATTATTTTGACAGCAAAATCTAGTCTATTGAAGGTACATTATTATTGAATGAGATGAATATGATGTCTGGCAGACGAGTCTGAACTTCCACAAATCTCATCCTAATTGTAGATGAAGATGACATTTGGCTCATCTGCTTCCCCTCCCAATTATTCCTTTTCAGTTTTTTTCATGAAACAATACCTTGATGAACTATTTTGGGACTTTTGTCAAGAAAATGAAAGTTGTTATTGTTGTTGACATGTTTCTGTCTTCTGAGCAATGATTAAAGCCACATTGGTTACTGAGCTGCATTATTTAGATTTAAAATATTTTATTTAAATGACATAAAAATATGCCCAAACAATGTGAGAATTTAATGAGTGCCTGACAATGACAGCCCTCCTCAAACCAAGATAGGAAAGAAGCGGGTTGCCATATCTCACACCTCTGCCTAATTAAATACCCCTTGCTATCAAACTCACCATACAGAGGGCATTTAATTATGCCAATTTTGTCAGCCAATGTCCATATTATGAAGGAGTGCAACATGAATACAAAGGAAAGGTAATGAGCTGAAAAAGAAGCTTAACACAAAGTTCTGTGAAAATTCAATACATACATCAGCTTCAGAACAGTACTCCAGTGCCTTGGAAAATAATGTATGTAGCACAGACTGCTGTATCCAAATGTTTGGGCTCACTTTATTTGCAACTTTCTCAGCCACTTGAGACAACACTCAGTAGAGTTACGATTGTACAATTTTTGAAAAAATATCATAAATCCACAATAACTCAGCACAATAGCAATTCAACAGTGATATATATGAGCTATAGTCTGCTTTTCAAAATGCTGAAAAATTGACCAGATTAAAAAAAAGGGCATCTTTCTGTTCGAGCGAGTACCAAAAGGTGTGGGAGCAGGAGGCTCTGACCGAGACAGATGGCACACATCAACCAGGAAAGCAATCTGCAAGTTCAAAACAGATAGTCGAGCACTGGAGGAGACTACAGAGATAGAGAGGGGAGAGGCCATGAAGATATTTGAAAAAAAATGGTAATTTTAAAATCAATGCATTGCTTAACTAGGAACCAAGGTAAATTAGTGAGCACATAGGTGGATAAATGGAACTTGGTGCGAGTAAGAATATGGGCAGTTTTGTGTGACATAAAATATACAGGATGTAGAATGTGGGAGGCTGGCCAGTGTATTTGAAAAGTTCAGATGTAACAACCATATGGATGAAGGTGTCCACAGCAGTGAGCTGAGGCAAGGGCAAAGTCAGATGTTATGAACAAGTTGAAAATAGTCAGTAATAGAGATGGTGCAGATATATGGTCTCAAGCTGATCTTGGTAACAAATAAAACTGGAAAGCAGTAGCATACTGGTAATATTGGCAGTAATAATCCAGAGACCTACATTAATACTCTGGGGGACAGTCTTCTAATGGAATTCAAATTCAACAAATAATAAATTTGGAACATAAGTTTGGCTCAGGAATGG